TTCTTCGATAGTATCTTCCTATAAAATAGGCGTATTTGCAAAAGAAATATTCGTAATAGAACCTATTTTGGCATCCTCGAACCAGGCAATGATTCTATATTGGAAATCGTAAAATCTCACTGATCCGTTCGAACTTCCTATTACTAAATAATTGTCCTAAATCTTCAAAATATTTATAGAATTCGAGCCTTTCTTACCATCTGATTTCTTACTTTTATTCATTAAATCAACTGTTTTTATGACTCTTCTTTCTTTTGGTGTATCCACTTTTTCAATAATAAGTGAAATATCACAAACAATTATAAATCCATCAGTAGTACCTGTTACTACCTTTGAAAATATATACATATATGGGTTATTTTTTATATAAATACTTATGAAATTCCTGTAATAAAGACTGTTTAGGTTAATATTTTTGATTAAGGTATATTTTAAGGATAATAAAATAATAAAGCCTTATCATTTGGTTCTTTTCGCCAAAAACCTATATATTTTTAACCAGTAGTCACGAATTCTTAATTATCATAAGAAAAACGTACAAAATATTAATATCCTATAGCTTAATCTATTGTCTAAGTTATTAATTCGGGATCTTTTATATATGTATATTTTTTTTTATTAATTTTTAATATTTTTATTAACTTTCTGAATTCCATTCCCATAATGTAATAATTTAAACGTCTTTTTTATTAATTTCTTAAGAAATTGTTACTATGTATTTCCCGTTTGGAGAAATCTAATATATATATTTATATATTATTTGTTCATATTTTTTTTTTTATAATATTTTTGTATTTTTATAAAACTTAATATGAAAAAAAAATGGCTTATAGCCTTTTTTTTATAATTAAGTTGTTAATAATTTTACAGATAATATAAATACAATATGAAAAAATTAGACATATATATATATATATATATATATATATATATATATATATATATATATATATATTTACATCTAATGCTTATGTACCATTTGGATGAGGATCGAAAATTGTTTTTTTTGGAATACCTGTTTTTGCATCCCATACAACTAACATTGAATCAGGTCCACTATATATATATATATTTAAATTTAAATATTCTTTATTTTTATTACCAATCAGCTGTTACTATAATATCTAAATCTTTACAATATGCAGTTGCAGTTATTTTATTACAATGTCCTTATAAAAGCCTTTAAGAGTTATTTTCTATATCATATATTACACCTGTATGTCCTACAGGATAAAATATTTCCTTTGTATTTTTTTTTTTTTTGATAATAAAATAAATAATTTTTAATTTTTTTTTTTGAACTTTTCGTGTTTCATCGGTTAAATTATGTATACTGTCTATTAATGAAAAATTTATACCTAATGTTCTTTATAAACTCTTTATTTTTTAATTGGATTAAATTTTAGTTTTTTTTTTTTTTTTTTAATATATATATATATTGGTATATTATATTTGAAAAAAAATAAAACAATTCTGTATTTACTAATGCATTTATTTTGCATGCTTCTTCATCTATTTCATATTAATTATTAAAGCTTTAAGCTTCTTCTTAATTCATTTTTTTAATTTAATTTTTTATTTTTGTTTATTTGTTAATTTTTTTGTTTTTATTTAATTAATAATTTAAAATATTTAATAAGCGATTTATTATATATCTATATAAATATTCATTTTTTTTATTTTTTAAAAAAAAACAAAACTAAGTTTCATTATTTTATTTTTTATTATTATTAAATTAATATATATATATAATATTTAATTAAAATATTATATTAATTATAATTTTTAAACTTAATAATTATTATTTATTTATATTTAATTAGTCTTTTTAAATTTATTTAATTACACAAAAATAATTTATATTTATTAATAAAATGAATAATTATATATGATTTTAATATATTTTTCTTATTATTATTTATTTAAAAATTATATAATTAAAATAGATATAGTTATAAAATAATTATTATATAAAATAATTATTTTTTTAATAGTAAATATTTATATAAAAAAAATTAATAATAATTAATATTTTATATTATATTTTATAAAATTTTTATTTAACTTATTTTCTATTATATATTTTAAAACAATACAAAAGAAATATTTAAAATAAATTATTGTTTCATTATTTCTGTTATAAAAATAAAATACTTTATTAATAATACTATATAATATTTATTTAATAATATATTAATATATTTAATTTTTTTAAAAAATACATATAAATAGTTAAAAAATAAATAAAAAAAATCTTTAAATAACAGAAACATGGAATATAAAAAAATAGCAACGATTATATATATGATAATAATGGTTTTTTATAGTGTATACGTAATGGTCATGGGGTTATTTTTATTTAAAAATAAAAAAAATATAAAAAAAAAGTATTTAAGCATATATTAAATTCTCAGATGCATCTGAAGGCTATTTATAAATAGTAACAAACTTCAAATAAGAATATATAACTGATCTGCGAATAGACACCAATACGTGTTAAACTGGTGAATTTTCGTTATTTAATTACAACTGGTAGGGTACTTCTTCAGGTTGTAATTGTGTAAATGGAGATTCTTTAAAACTTTAACAATTTTAAAACTAAAAAATCATGTATTAAGGAGTTTGTAATACAAACTAAACAAATGCTGGTTGCAAAATAGTAAATTAAGTTCCAGGTAGTACTTTTTAATATTTTGAAGGTAAGAAATATAAATATATATGTATATATGTAAATCTTTTAAAAATTAAATAAAAAGGAAGCCCAAATACTAAAGTTAATGTATGTGCGAAAAAAAGTGGATAATAATATTACAAAATAGCTTAAAGTTAAACTGGTAAATGTTCTACTACATAAGATACTTGTGGAAATCCTTAATATCCTGATACTGTTGTATGCGTAACTAAAGGATAACCTTGTCCTGTGTATTAAATTTTATTTGGACCAAATAATGCAGCTTATTCAACTTGGACAAAATTATAAATTTCTCCTAATTTATATGTCTATTATGATAAAGTAGGTAATTAACCTTTAGTTTAAAATCTTTAGGACCCAAATAATGAAATTGTTAGTCAAAGATTTGTTTATCCTGCAAGTGAATTCAGGGTAAATGAAGGAGATGGAATATGCAATATTCCAAATACTGATTGTATTTTTAATTTTATAATATATATATAATTATAAAATAGAAACTATAAGTATTGGTAGAAATGATTATATATTAATGAACAAAAAAAGATCTTAAAGTTGTAATTATGATAAATCGTTTATTAGAAATGGATATTCTGTAAAAAATAATAATATATAAATAAATATAAATATGTAAATATATAAATATATATATATATATATATATTTGTTTATATTTTAAGATTACAGAATCATAATTCTTTAAATTAAATTTAGGTGAAACCCTATTTAATACTTTAAATACTTTACCTCCAGGAAATAATTTTGATAATATTGCTAAATATAAAACTTTTTATAGATTTTTTTTTCCTTGGAATATTTAAAATAGAGATATTGTAAAAAAGAATTATAAAAAATAAAAAAATAAAAAATATTAAGATATAGAATATAGTAAATATTGAAGATGAAATAAAAATTTTAAAAACATGTTAATTATTAACTATGTTAATTGCAATTATTGTATGTATTGCTGTATCCATAGTTTTACAAGCAATGGAAGTTTATAATTTGATGGGAAAAGATGTTCCATGTATATAAGGAGAAGGAGAAGATGAAAAAAAAAGAATTAAAAAAATAAAATCATATATAGCTTATGGATCAAAAATTATTTAATCACCTGTAAAAATTTAAATAATTTAAATATATATATATATATATATATATATATATTTATATAATATATATATATATATTTACATTTATTCATTTATATTTTTAGTTTTTACTAGCCGCTTTTATAATGTCATTATAAACAAAAAATATTTTAAATGATGCTTCAGATAAATCGCCAAGTTCTTCCTAAGTAAATTCTATATTATATGATATATCTGGTAAAATATAAAATGATGTCTATAAAAAAAACCTTTAAGCACTTATAATTCTTGCGCTTACAAGTTTACTTGATATAGTTATTTTTATTAAAAACAAAAAAAAAATTAATAAGTCAATATTTAAACTGCAAAAATTACAGAAAGCCAAGAAAATCATGGACTTTAAGTAAAACCTAATTAAAAGTAACAAGATTTAACACCTGATTAATAATAAAATGTAATTTAATCACCATAATAATAATAAAATGGAGCAATACCTTCCTAATAATTATATCAGCCTGGAATGTATCCATCTATATAATAATAACCTGGAACATATCCTACTCAATAATAATAACCTGTAATGTATTATTAATAATAACAGCCAATGTTTGGTATGTAATAATAGCCATTAATATTATAATAATAATAACTTGCTTATAATGCTTAATAACAACCTTTTGCTTATTAATAGTAATGACATTATAGAAATGTTAATAGAAAAAAATATATATATTTAAAAAAAAATATATATATTATAAATTTAATAGATTATAGATATTATATTTAATAATAAAATAAAAAGCATTTTTTTTTTATATAATATATTCTATTTTTATTTTTTTTTGTTAATTTCTATTTTATTTATAATAAAAACAATATTTATATAAAAAATAAAATATATATAAATAATAAAATAAATTATAATTAACAATATATAAATTATATTTATCATATATATAATTTAATAATATATATATTAACAAAAAAAGACAAAAAACATATAATAATATTAAAAAAAAATACTAAAAATCGTATATATAAAAGTAATTGTATTCTATTGTGTATATATTATAATTATGGTGTATACAATAAAAA